GAAGGACCTGGGAGTGCTGGTGGACAACAAGTGAAGCATGAGCCAGCAATGTGCCCTTGGGGCCAAGAAGGCCAATGGTCTGCTGGAGTGCATTAGGCAGTGTTGCCAGCAGGTGGAGGGAGGTGATCCTGCCCCTCTCCTCAGCCCTGGTGAGGCCTCCCTTGGAGTCCTGTGCCCAGTTCTGGGCTCCCCAGTACAAAAGAGACAAGGTGCTACTGGAGAGAGTGCAGCGGAGGGCTACAAAGAGGATGAAGGGACTGGAGCATCTCTCCTCTGAAGAAAGGCTGAGACCTGGGCCTGTTCAGCCTGCAGAAGAGAAGACAGAGATCTGATCAATGTGTACAGGTATCTGAAGGGAGGGTGTCAAGAGGGAGTGTGCAACAACAAGACAAGAGACAACAGGCAGAAAATGAAACACAGGAAGTTCTGTCTCAACATGAGGAGAAACTTCTTTCCTGTGAGGGTGACAGAGCTCTGGAACAGGTTGCCCAGAGAGGTTGTGGAGTCTCCTTCCTTGGAGATATTCAGAAGACATCTGGACATGATCCTGTGCAATGTGCTCTAGATGATGCTGCTTGAGCAGGGGTTGGGCTAGACAATCTCCAGAGGTCCCTTCCAACCTCAGCCATTCTGCGAGTCTGTGATTTCCAGCAGTTTATAAATAATTCACTTTTTATCTGCTAAAAGATAAAAAATTAAGTTGCATTCTTATAAAGTCCAGAGAAATTGAGCCTCCCCTTCCTGTTCTGCCCTTTGAATTGTCCACCTTACCAGTTTTTCCTACAACCCCTGAAACTTTTTAGACCTTCCAGTGACATGACAAACAGTACATGTACGATCATTAGAAGAACTCTAAAAAACAAAACAAAAAACAAAATATAAAGCAAACAACCTCCTTCCCCCCCCCCCCCAAAAACAACCCCCGCAACAAGCAAAAAGGGCCCCTCCCCTTGCTTCCTAAAAATTAATAGCAGATTTTAGTGGAACTGCCCTCCTATTGTGAAGTTATGACTGATTCTAATGGCCATAAGAAAGGCATCCTTTTATTCTTCCAGGTTATATCAGGCAAAAAAAAAAAAAAAAAGAGATGTATGAAGGATCTTCCTGCTTGTTAAAAGATAGCACACCATATGTGCTACACTGCTTTGTTTCTGTCCAATGCATTGATTTCATCCAATTAACAAGATGTCATTATGGACCCTTCTGGTTGAAGATACACCTCCACTCCTAGTTAAAACGTTGCACTGTGAAGAAAAGCAGCAACAGCTCCTTGAGCCAGGCAGAAAGTACAGGAGAGCATGACCCCTACGTAACATTGAAAAGGAGGAAAGAGAACCCAAAGATTCATTTCCTGCTCAAGGGATTCTACAAAGCAACTTAAGAACGTGCTTATCAGAACAAAACAGCACTCACATTGCATCAGGTTTGGTCTTTTATGAGACTACTTTGTCATTCCAACCCTCCCATTTTGTATAACAGAGACACTAGTATTATGTACATGTGTGCACTTACCCAAGCATGCCTAAGACACAGTATACAGCTGAGTTTTATGAATGTTGGGAGTCTTTATGTAGAGACTGACTCTCTGCTGCTTTAGTTAATTATAATACTGGAACTGAGACAGGCCTTCCAGAATCGTTAGAACTGCAAGTCAAAAGCCTGCACTAAAACAAGGCTCTCACTGGCAAATTGCTAACAAGTGTTGACTGGACAGGGTTGACAGCAATGAATTTGTTATAAATTGAGTTTATAGAACATTCTTGGCATAGAAGATCGGTGGTGGAGTCTCCTTCGCTGGAGATATTCAAAACCCGTCTGGATGTGATCCTGGGCAATATGCTCTAGGTGACCCTGCTTGAGCAGGGAGGTTGGACGAGATGATCTCCAGAGGTCCCTTCCAACCTAAACGATTCTGTGATTCTGTGAAGATCCCTTTTGCTCTCTTCTCCATAGCATTAAAAATCTTAAACCACTATTATCCATAGCACAGATCATTGTTGTTCAAGGAGAACATTTTTTCTTAGCCTCTCACCTTCAGAAATTGTTTCATCCAAAAACTTTTTAATACTGATCCAGACTCCCAAGTTTTAAAGATTGGACAACTCTACAATACTTAATTTACAACCAAAAGAGTGGGTTCAATTGAGGGAAAGATATTTAAAACAAACAAACAAACAAAATCCCTCAAAAACACCACCAACAACCCAGCAGTACGAATTGCATACTTGAGCCCAATTTGGATTGCAAATGGTTCCTAGAAAGACCTACTTTCACTACCCACAGTCAAGACTTGAGAAAATGAGCTCTTTGCTGTAGAATTAATAATAGAGCTATGCAGATTGACATTCCCAGGAGATACAGGGAAAGGAAAAAATATTAAAAACTGATGCTCCTAGCAAATGAAAAACTAATGGACCATATTTTCCCAAAGGGATGGGAGGTGCTTTCATTTTATTTCCCTCTGATGACTATGTGAGACCTGCCCTAATGGGTAAAGCTCAGGGAGCACAGTCGCCAGCTAAATGGAAACACCTTGACAATTTCAGGGAGTGCAAGTCATCAAACAACCAAATTCCAAGAGCATTGAACGTTCACAATTCTGCAGCAGAATGTAGCTCCGTTCATAATTTACTTCAGAAAGTAGAATTCTTCAACATTCACATTTCAGCATGGGGTTTCTATATATCCATGGCAGGAACAGAAAGCCTTTTTTAGCAGGGATTCAAATCGGACCTAAAGCCACTTTAACATTTAGGAACATGTTTTTTCAAAAACAATCAGTATTGGCTTTTCTACTTTCAAACTCATCTTAAGAGTTTTATTAACTGACGAAACAGTTAAGAGATGGGCATCTGTTGGTGACATCCTTGAAAACACTCAAGGTACCTCAGCTTATTTATAAATGTCTAGAAGTAGGAAACTGCTTGTTTTCATGCATTTACCTGCATTTTCAAAATCTTACCAACTACTAGAAAATTCATTCTTAAAGGAGTTAGAAGGGTGAAGAAATAAACTGATTTTCATTATTTAATATTTATTGATGCAAAACAAAAAATAACTTGTAACAAACTACCTATGTACAATTTACACTGGAGGAAGATCGTTTAAGATCAGTGAAAGAGTAAAAAAAAAAGAGTGTACTCCCAGTACTGAGTATATTTCCACTTCGATAGTAGTTACAGTATTCTTTAGAACTTCCTCATAATAGATGATCTTCAATTTGCAGGTGAAGTTATGGGGAAGAGGTCTCCAACATTTCCTCTCTTGCTTTTGGTCTAAAATACAAAAAAGAGTTGAAGTTAGTTCATTCAGACAGACACAATCTGTAGCAAAAACCGTGGCCTATCTGGCCATGCCATAATAATATAATGTTACTGGACAGTCCGGTGGAACAACTGCAAATTGTATTCACAGAAGCAAGGATACACATACTCCAGAGGCAAATCAATAAAAATATTAGTATCATTTAAATTATGACTTTCAAAAAAGTGGATTACCTTAATATAATTTAATTAAATATGGCCTCTAATCTATTCCTCTATGAAAAGGTTTGAGTTGTCAAAGTCACACCAGCTTGTGATATTCATACTTAGTCTGCAGATATTATCTATACTGTCAATAATATGTGCATTTTGTGCAGGACAAAGGAAATTTTAAATAACAAATGCAATGAGCCCTAAGAAGTAAATGTACTTTTAAGTTTCATGCTGTTCTTGTAAGAATCCTGTGCATATTTTAATTCACTTCTATTCACTTCTAGACAAAGGATCCACAAACCATGATTTACAGTCCCAAGGCAATACAAAGCTGCTGACAGTCGAGAGAAGTCCAAGAATTAAAATGGTTGCCAACCAAGAGAATGAAGTCTGATGTAAGCCACGATCAAGTGACAGCTAAGGATTGTTACTCCAGGTGTAGAGCTACATGGAAAAACCAGCCACATCATCTGTACTGCACAAGATGCCAAATTTTCAAATTGATTTAAAGCCCATATAAAAAAAACAGAAGACTGCCATTAAGACTTGCAAACACAGCAGCCCACTAATAAAATCTCTATTAAAAATTTGTTTGGCACAGATACAGAAAATTATTAGCGAAATCCACAATACTGATCAGTTGACTTATCATCAGACCCAGGATATGCACATTCCTCAGAGGGACACTTGAAAACAAAGACCAAAAGGGGAAGGTTACAGCCAACAAGTCTAACAATAATTAACATTGCATATCTTTTAATACATTTCCACTGTAGGGGAAGGGAAGCGATGGCTCTTCACCAGTGGCCAAGAAGGCACATCTTGGCACATCCCACACACTCTTTCAGCTGATATGTTCATGGCCTGCTGTGTGACACCAAAAGTTTTCTGCTTGCTTTATCTACAGAGGGTATATCCATCTGCCCCTCCCCACCTCCTATTTGAAGTAAGGGTCCTCAACACAACAGTGAACTATATTTACAGAAGAACAGCTTTCATAGCGTGGGAGTCTGTGGTTTCCCCGAGGAGCTCTGGGAACTAGTGGTAATTAGGCACAACTCAATACTGTCAAAGAAAAAAAAAATTGAAGACTGAATGGGTCACAAAATAACCACCTTTGCTGGTGACATCTGCACTAGGGTAGTGCAAGATCCACTGCAATGAAAATAGTTCCAAACCTATTGCCAAGATCTTGATGGCTACTTAGGCAGCCACAGTCAAGAAAAAAAAAGGTGCCCAGAACTGATGATTAGCCGGACCAATCGTGAATCAAAATGAGAAGGGTCATTCAGAAGCCCAGTATCCTGCAGATAGATCAGAAACTGCTCTCCTTCCTGAGCACCTGACACACGGCAGCATCAGATTCCAAAATTTAGATTTACAGATGAGATAGGACATTGAGTTAGTAGATACCTTACCCCAGAGAGAAACCTGAAATCAACACATGGGCACACAAACAGATTTGGGATTCCCAAACACGCTTAGAGGACTGCTGATGCACAGGCTCAGAGCAGTGGGATGTGCAGAAAAGTGACCTGTGACAGACAAATCATTGCTGTAAAGGAGACCGATCGAATGATCACCCAGAAGAAAACTATACAAGCAGGGCCCCATCGTACAGACTGGGCAAGACGACAGGAGGAACAAAACAACTCCCCAGGGAGTAGCTGGGAAGATTTCAAGAGAGTTCAGAGTTTCCTGGGTATTTTTAACAGAAGAGAGGATCACATCTATCCTTGAGCCCCAAAAAAGGGAGATTCTGAGGAAACATATCCATCTCTAAAGAAAGCTGAACTCTCTACACCCAGGAATAACAGCACAGTAAACCAATTGGAGCAACGGAACAAGATGCTGTGCTTACTGCTTTATTTCCTGCTATCTGGAGTGAGATGCAGGAGGTAGTTTATGACAACGTAAATGCCATCCTCCACCAGGCACGAGAGAGAGAACTAAACATCTCACTGGGCAGAACTGGAGGGATGCAAATAAAACTCCTTTTCCCACAGAATTCAAGCTTTTCATCTCCTGATCTCTTCTGTTCCCCTTGACCTTTCCAAAGCAACCACAGTAACAAGGATGAGGATGCCAGGCATGTGCACAAATACACTGATGTACTTAGCAGAAACATTTCCAACCATGGGTAACAAGTAGGATAAAATAAAAACGACAGCTTCCAAACTGTGTGGGCAGGCCTATATCATATGGAAGAAAACCTTGGATGGGCTTGGTCAGTCACTGAGATGTAACAGGTCTCAGCTCTGCCTCTAAGAGAAACATAGGAGGAGCGGGCCACCCTCTGATAGTGATCTTGGAGGGCCTCCCGAGCTGTCCAGCTTATTCAGCCCAGGCTCCTCCTTACACACCTCAGAAATCTCACCAACCAGGAAGACACTTTTCTCCTGGCATTGAATCACATTACCAGAAAACTCAGGCAGCAATTGGGCTTTTGGGGGGAGGCGGGGGGGAGTGATCTGGGGTGGAAGGCCATATGTGCGCGCATGCAAATTTGCGGTGATGGGCACATATTTCCATGCTAGGCCTCTGTGCCAAAACCAGGAGATGCCAAGCAGCACTCCCACTGGCAATAGTAATGAAGATATAAGAGCAGGTGAATGCCTAGACAATACAATTGCTTTTGCCAATACAAAAGCAGGGTATGGCTTTATGCCCAAGTGATGTCAAAGCCACAGCAAGATTGTGCCAAGGCAAAAGAAGTCACCAGCATGCTGAGTTAATGCTACCAGAGGAGCAGAACACACAATCTTATGATGCTCTACGTTAAGTTTGGCCAGGTGGAATGGTGCTGGAAAGAAGTTTTTCAGTACTGCAGAGCCAGCCTCAACAGATGGATGAGACTCAAGGGCAATCATGTGGGCCTGAAGTGGTCCCAGTTCTGCTTCTGCAATCTGGAAAAAAGCAATGATGATGATGATGATGATAATGAACACCTTTCCAGGGATGTCTTAAGATGGCCTTCTTGTGATTAAAACTACACTCAAGTATTTCAAGGAATGGAGGTCAAAGGAAGCTCTGCATTGCTTCTCTGACCAAGAAAATAGTGAGCTTTGCTAAGCCTTGTACAAAGCTTTATGGAGAGGCAACTGCTGAACTTTTAGGCCCAAGAACACCTTAGAAAGAATTCAAATATCGGCAACCGAGATGGAAAAAATAATACAATCCTCACTAGTGGCCCAAAGACAAAAAAAGGAAACCTTTGGTGAGGGCACTGAAATCCAAATTCAACAAGAAATCCATTTCAGCAGCAAGGCAAAAAAGTGTAGGAGCAAAACTTCAAACTTGATAAGGAGTAGAGAGGAACTGAAGCAACGGCAGGTGAAAGCCTCTTCACATGGCCTACTCCAAGGGAAAAGGAGACGCGAAGGTGAGCCTTCAACAGATACTGCAAGGAGAAAATTTTCAGCTCAAATGGCAGGACACACAACACCACACTGGCAGCACGTGCGTATGGACTTTCATGAAGAAAAAGAAATTATGATAAACATTTTTGTAACAGATAAGGGGATCTTCTCTTCATAATTCCTGAAATATTTCAAGTTTCAGATTAGTGCAAAAAAAGTTGGACATCTCAGCAAGTTATTAGCCCACGCATACATCCAATTAGTTAAAAATGTACTTCATCTGCGTACTCAGCTCCAGGGAAATAGGTAAGGATGGGGGCAGGAGGACTGGCCTACTCTCATTTGCAACCCTTAGCATCTCACCAAAGAGGTGAGCCTTGCGATGAAACAAATGCAAGCTTTAGTTCCTCTTTGGAAGAGGAACTAAATTATTTTCAGAAAAACAGTATTATTGCTATTACTGTCCCCCCCCCCTTTTCTTCCATCAAGAAACAGAAACGTGTTACACAGAGTGGATGCAGAATGTAAAGGAACAGAGGCCATTTTATGACCAAGGTAATGATTTCTGTGAACTTAACTGGGGTTAACAACCAAATAAAATGAAGCTATTCTAAATTCTGATGAGATAATTTACTCAACGTAGTTTGTTTGAAGGGTTAAATAGGATGCAAAGATGGACTCTAAGCCACAAAAAGAAGAGGTAAATAAAGCAAACGTTCAGCTTTACTTTGTCTTTAAAAGATAGCGGGGGTTTGCCTGCCGGCTGAAACGCTGTTCAAGTCTGGTAACTGTGTTCTAATTTATTCCTGCAGCGACCTCTGTGCTTTACCTATGAATTATCTTAACAGTGAACAGTAAAGCTCAGCGGTTCAAAAGGCCAATGTCCACTTTCACCAATATTAAGAAAATCAGCTGTAATAAAAATCAGAGAACACTTGCTCAATGCAAAAAGGCCTCTGCAATTATCACTTAATTGTCCTTCACGGGCCAATACAGCAAGTCTCATACCTTCCCCTTAAGGCTGATCCCTCCTTCAGCACTTTTTCCTAACTGGCTACTTAATTAGTCCTCCTTCCTGCACTTCATTGTAAATTCATTTTGATTAATTAGCCTCTGAGCTGACTTGGCACTTACTGAGATATATAAGAAGTGCTTCGTTTCTTCAGTGCATGGGCTACTGTATCCTAAGGGAGCTCCCTCACTGTCAGCAATAACATTTCAAGTTCAATTTGTGTTTGGAAAAAAAAAAATCATAATTAACTTGCATATCTTGTAATTGCCCACTCTGTTCTACAACACAAAAATAATGTTAACATAAAAAAGGATAGAATTAATTAAATTCGGGCCTCTTTTTCAATGGATCATGTTCAGCAGTTGAATCTTGCAACTTCAGATAATATAAGACAACTTGATGCTCTTAAATGAAAGTGATAATAGCAT